CTTAACGGGGGATGACCTGTACATTGTAGACATCTTTTGTGCAATGCCCTCTCAAGTCTAGTTGCACATCAGCCGCCATATTATCAGATAATATGGCGGATGATGTGCAACTAATTCTATTGTAATTCTGCTAGTGAAGGTTTTCTAGGTGAGTTTTGCCTACGCTCAGCCGGAGGGGAAGACATTGGTTGTCTTTGGTACTGGTTAGGCCTTTGCGCTGGCCGATGAGTTTATTCAAATTTGAATTCAATTTTAAGCGAATGAAGATAAACTACGAAATAGTGGTTGCGACTTCTGATGAGGGGTGAATTCCCCGAAACACTGTGTATTGAGCAGGGAGTGGTGCTTTCTTGCAGGCTTGCCAAGTCGAAGGTTCGATGGACTTCTCGTGTGCTCCGGACTGCAGTCGTGAGTCAGTCAAGTGTCAAGTCGAGTCGGCGGAATGGCGTGAGCTCCAGTGTGGGAGCAAACCCATTCCTAGATGTTAACCTAGTGTGAAGAAGAAGGTGACATCGGTGACACTTGTGGAATTATGTGTTGCTCCCTACGTGGGAGCTCGCGCTCTCCCTGCTAACTTGAATTCCCACTTGACTGACTCGCTACTGCCATCCAGAGCACACGAGCAGTCCATCGAACTTTCTGCTCGGCAAACCGTCAAGAAAAGATGAACTAGGTGGACTTGAACTACCGGTAATCAAGCTGTCCTTGTTCTTGGCTTGCAATCTCCTGTCCCCGTGCAGTCATCAGCTGTGGCGTTCTCGTTGCCCCGCCAGGCGGATCGGTGAGCTTCAACCAGACGACGTACGGGAGCAGCGCGTGGTACTCGTGTGATCCCGGCTACAACATGTCCGGATCGGCAACTAGCACATGCCTTGCCAATAGTACCTGGTCGGCAAAACCTCCGACATGTGAAAGTGAGTCGCCGCTACTGCAAGTACAGTCAAACCTCTTTAGGACGAACATCAAGGGACCGATGATGTTTGTTCGCAATAACAGGAGTTCTTCTTATCCATGTGTTTTACCCAGTGAATACACAGGGTTTATCCAATACAGTTACGAATACTAGTTCTTCTTGGGCAAACATTTGTCTTATCAGTCTTCTTCCTAACGAGGTTTCACTGTGGATACTAGCGGGCATTTAAGATTCCTCTGGCGTGTTTTTGGTGCATCCACTGTAGCATACAGTGACATCTGGTGTACTGTAAGCGACCTCTGGTTTTAGCGACCACCTGCTCTTAACGACCGCTTTTCCATGCACGGACTGTTCTGCACAGAAACGGTGGGACCTGGTTCTAAAGACCAGCTGGCTTTAACGACCGCGTTTGCTTGCACGGACTGTTCTACTTAGGAACTGTGGGACCTGGTTCTAAAGACCGGCTGGCTTTAACGACCTCCTTTGCTTGCACCGTTGCAACTCAGAAAAATAAAAACCGTTAATAAAAACTTCTCAGCCCAATACAAGCACAGCCATTCAGCGCAATAAAACGGCTCAGCAAACTGAATAGGTCTGGGGATGAATCCAGGAGAAATCACACATTGCCACAAAATTAAACGCTGAGCAGAAAATAGGGCAAATTAAAAACACCTTTTTTGGATTCAGAGGACAATGTCTTCTTCATCTCAGCTTTTCCCCCGCTCTTTTTTTAGCTGCAAGGAGAGCTTTTTCTTCTTACGCTGCGGGGTTACATTGAAAGTAACATTGTTGAAACTAGCTCCAGCAGCATTCAGTACGAAAGCAGAGCTATTCGTAGAATCATACAATGGCGTGAGAGAAGCAGAAGACTCGAACTGGCAGCAATACAAAGCACAGAGCAGGGGCAGAAGGGGATTCTTCCTTGCAATCAATTTTTTTCTGACAGCTTGACGGCTTGGACAGGGCTCGTTTTGTCATACGAAGTCAGTGATTTCGGGTTCCTATGCGCAGAAATTTCACAACTTTTCCGATCTTCAACACCGGCTTGCTTCAAATGCACGACAGGTGTGGCACGAATGGAATGATTTAGTGTATTTTCCATGCTAGCCCAGCGGCCTTCAAAATAGACTTCATGAAGCCCTGCAAAAGATTGTGTGATAAGGGACTTTGAACAAACCACGTTGTCTCGCTGTCAGAAATAAGAGAGCCAGAAGGAACCTTAGAGCGTTGGAACAAACGATCTAAATTGGGGTTAAGCCTACCTAAATTCAGCTTCAACACAGCAACTTGGACAGTATCTTGAATAGAGCCGGCTGACTCGAAACATGAACCAGCAACGCCACCTTGATGGTTTTTCGACAAAATCAGTGCGGAGGGTACATGCCTCCTTACCTTCCACAGTTGACAGGACGCGGTCGTTCTTGGTTAGGCGACATTGGATTTCGCCTGCACGCAAGCAGAACTTGCCGGTCACGTGAAACCAAACGTAGTAGGTCAGCTTGCGCGGGTCCCTCGTCTCAAGAATGTCGTCAAAGAACTCATCAAGCTTCTACCATTCTGGATTTGTTGATACTTGGCTTGTGCTTGACGGATGGTTCCTCCCCCTGACGCTTCTTCTCCTTCAGCAGCCCATCAAGAAGCTTATTGCAGCGTTGAAACTCCGGTGACGAGTACAAGTTGACATCATTCCGGATGTTGCCCGAATGTCGATGAATAGCCGCTCTGGCCGCCAAGTAGCTGTTTCTGGTGTACTTGGTACCATCCCTTTTCCTGGCGTCAGCATAAAAACCTTCAACAGGGCCAGCAAAGTCAGTCTTTGAAGCGTTTTTTTTTAATCTCAAGGGGACTTTCCCTCTCTTCATTGTATTGTTCAAAGGCGCACATCCAGAAATCAGTAGCAATAACGGCGTTTTGGGGGGTCCTCTCGTCTATTAGCTCTTGTTGCTCCTCAGCAGTTGAAGTCGCAAAGACCCTCGTTCTCTTCGCCGCAGGTTCAGCAGAGGTCTGATCGTCACCTGTCTCCATCGTTGCTCGAGGCAGAAGAAAGGGTGAAGAAGGAGAGCATGCGCACTTTGTAGAAACTGATTTTTGCCATCTGGGACCTATGCCTTTGCAGTGCACAAACCCTCCAAACCAGTGCCCATGGTGAGTATTGCACGACCTCCTCCCCCCCCCCCCTCCCCTCCCCTCTCCCCTCCCCCCCCCCCCCCTGGTAGTTGACCTGAAGGAAAACAAAGTTGTAGGGTCGATAGAGTAGACACCGATTTTGCCATTTGGAAACTATACCCTACCCTGGTCTTGCTTGCAGTGCAGTGTACAAACCTGGGAGTACCACTGTACCAGTCGACACAGCCGTAGTATTTCAAGACCCCCCCCCCCCCCCCCCTAGGCGCGATCGCATGGTTAAAAGTCGCAAGGTGCCACAGGCTTAATTTGTAGGGTCATGGAGTACATAGCCAAGAAACTGATTTTGCCTTTTGTTAGCTTTGCCTCGGTCTTGATTGCAAAGTACAAACCATGGAGTAGATCTACGAGTCGTAGTACAGTCAGACCTCGCTTATCCGGTCCTCTTTTATCCGGATCCCTTGCCATCCGGAAGAAAATAGCTGGTTACAGATTTACAGCATACGTGATGCATCTAACATAACTGGTGTTCGGTTATCCGGTTCCCTCGCCTATCCGGATTTTTTTGTGGAAAACAGATGTGTGCGGTTAAGCGAGGTCTGACTGTATATCAAGACCCCCTATGTGCTATTACCTAACCCCCCCCCAAGAGTGTGCAACTCCTGATACCCATTCTATTGGGTACGCCGATGACGAAAACTCACATCACGTGGTGCAGTGTCGCAGTAACTGTTGTACGTTTCCAGCCCGTTTTTAGCGAGCAGCGGAGTAATAAAAAAAGCACTCTCTGTCAGAAACTCACTGCGGGTATGCAAATCCCCAGCATGATCATGGCAGATGTTCAGATTGCGCGCACGCTATCCTTCGTTTGTACATAGTACGAACGTATCTGAGACATGTGATGTGAGTTTTCGCCGTTGGAGACTCCATATGCAGAGTTGCGCACTTTTTTTTGGGGGGGGGGGGGGGGCGCCCAGGGTTATACTCTTGTTATTACTTGTATGGTCCCAAACATGTAAAAGAAAAATCGCAAAATGCCGCAGGTTTCAACCACACCGTACTGCAACAGAGTACACGTGTTGTAAGATTACTGCTACATCTCCACAGGCTTCATTTCGACCACACATAATGCACTTCAGCAGAGTTGTAAGATTACTACTTCAAGTACTACATCTATCTTTTGAAACAACAGATCATAACTACTAAACAAATGTGAAAGGGCCGTACCTATTCCCAGTGAGTGTCAATTTCTGAAAATGCTGTTCTATGGTGGATATAAACCCAATATAAGGGCATGATCGATTGGGCGAATCCAGAGCAAGTGCGCCCTGAGTGAGCGTGATCGTTTGGTCGAATCCGGAGCAGGTGTACTTGGAGTGGAATCCGACCACACCGGCCCCCGCACCCGGAGTGGCTTGAGTGGAAATGGACTTTGCCGTTTTTGGCAGCCTTCACAGAATCTTTGTACGTTATGCGTACAATACTACATTTTTGCGTACTACACCCTTGTTTTGTTCGATTGGCCCAGCGTTGCTCGGACCACACCGCCTGCTCGCACTCTATCCAGATTCGCCAATCGATGACACCCTAAGACTCGCCTTCGGTTGTATGACTTATAAAAACGTATCTCGGCTGCGCCTCTGTTTTTATGCAAGTTTTTATAAGTCGTAAAACCTCAGGCCCGTCTTATATTGGATACTTATTTAAAATTATTAAAAAAATGATTTGAAGTTTTTTTAGTTTGGGTTTGAAAATCTTTATTTTACACATGCATTCTTCTGATTTCTTCGCCAGTGTATGTTGTATTGAAAAAAATAAAATAAAGTAAATTATCGTGTCCGTTCCCGAAGGAAACTACGACGGCCGCTAACACCCGATAACCCTAGCGGCAGATGCAGCGCTTAACGGTGGGGGTGAATGGATAAGTCTCACAACCATTGGCACAAGTGCCGAAAACAACCCCATTAGCTGCATCCATGTACCCCTTGCGCCTGGCCACAAGTTCCCAGTCGACTGTGGGTAGCAGCACGGCTGGAAAAACCGCTCCCAAGCAGGACATGAACCAGGTACCTCTCGTATCTCAATCATGGTCTTTGACCAACCCACTGTGCCTGCCTGGTCATTGCATTTTAATCCATTGTGTTAATTTTTGCCCGTAAAAGAGGCTTATATACTAGTCGTAGAAAAAGGGTTGCCTGATGATTGCGAGAGCATGAAACTGGAAGCAGCAGCAAACAAGCCTTGATTGTGCTTGTTGTTCTGTTCTGTAGAAAAAAGAAGAAAAAGTTATACCGGTAATGCTGCTGATTGGGATAGGTGGACTGATGTGGATTTTTGTGCATTTGCCTCATTTTAAATTCTCCCGCGCAGTTGTGAAATGTTCCCACCCTGGCATAGGCTGGCACTCAACGGTACGCAGTGTTGGTGGTAGCGGTGGTGGTGGTGGCGGTGGCGGCGGCGGTGGTGGTGGGCCGTTTACGTACGGCACAGAATTACGGTATGGTTGTGATGTCGGTTACACTCTCGTTGGGTCGAGTAGCCTGCGGTGCACGGCTCAAAGGACGTGGTCTCGCGCCGTCCCAGTGTGTGTAGGTAAGCCTGTGTGTATACCTCTGTGTGTGTGTGTGTGTGAGAGTGTGTGTGTGTGTGTGTGTGTGTGTGTGTGTGTGTGTGTGTGTGTGTGTGTGAGTGTGTGTGTGTGTGTGTGTGTATATCTGTGTGTGTGTTTATCTGTGTGTGTGTGTGTGTGTGTGTGTGTGTGTCTGTGCACATGGTTGTGTATGTGTATGTATGTGCGCATGCACTATACTTGTACCACGGTTTGCTGTTACGTTCATCGGCACATCAAAACCAGACAGCATAATTATTATCCTACCTGTGGTGTTTGGACGGAAGGCGCAAACAACCGTAGATTCCAGTTAGCTATCTCTTGTCATTCTTCATTCCATTTGGCCTAAGCGAAGACCAGCCAAGCTTGTTTGGCGATGTCAACGCGAACAGGCTGCTGCTGCTGATGATATCTCTTGTTTGCATTCTGCTTTTTCTACAGTGAACGTGTGTTCAGATCCGGGAGCTCTCAGCAATGCTTCGCGGGTTGTCTACGGTCTCGAGTACGGGCACAACATCACGTTCCGCTGTGACCCAGGGTTCAATATGAGCGGCAGTGGATCTCTCGAGTGCTACGCCAACCAGACCTGGTCTTATCCTCTACCAGTATGCACACGTAGGTACATGAGTTTTGTTCTTTTCGACACGAAATTCCCAGTCACCCCGCCGCTCCACAATGCACTGTCAGCCAACACGTTTGTTATGCCTTCACGCACGTACTTACGTTACACACACACGCACTCACACACGCTCACATACACACGTGTGCACACACATATATACACACATACACACATACACACATACACACACACACACACACACACACACACACACACACACACACACACACACACACACACACACACACACACACATGCACCTAGTATGACAACACTTCCGCTTTAAGCGTTGTGAAGATATAACTTATAATCGGGAAAACACTTTTGGTACTTTTCCCACGCTTTTTCTTTGCATTATACTCCCCGTATACCTTGAGTGGGCAGAATCAAGCCGCCGCATTTCCCCGAATATATGTTGCACCTCTTTTTATCTACACTTATGATCCTTGAGGGCGGTGGCGTTCCTACGGATGTGGAAAGCTAAGTCGAACCGGGCATAATTCGAATCGTGATTTTTTTACACTATTATACTTATATAAAACATAGCTAATTGTCCAGAAACTCCAACGCAGCCACTCACATTTAAGAAACTTCACTTCAAAACTTCACTTCTTCACTCCAACCTCCAAAACGGTCTCTTTACTGCGAATCAAATCAAATTTGAATTACCAAATTATCGGGCCTGGCCCTTCATTAGGATAATAAAAATAGCCAAACTTCGCTCTATAAGTTGCTGTGTTTTGACTTTTTCCCATTATTCCCGGTACTTACCCATGATGAGAAGGGAACGAATATGTTCGGATACTAAACAACTGGCTTCGCTGGACTGCTTTGATTGCGTCGGTGCTGGCACCTTTTATTTAGTGCTGAAACGATTATATCGATTACTCGTTACTTCCTGGATAAGAAATAGATCGAACGGTTATTTCGATTTTATCGGCTAAACGAGTAGAATGGTACTTATGCTCGGTACGGGATTTCCCCCCTTTTGGGGTCGCACAAAGCGGGCATGCATCGAAAGTGTCGCGAGTACAACACGAATATGTACATACAGTAACATGTACTGAGACCAAAAATCCTTCTCGTAACTCCAAGTTTCGTGTTTAAAAAAAAACACTCATCGTGTGGTAAGCTCTGCCTCTTTTTGAGGTAGTGAGCACTGTTTGCAGCGAAGACTACAGACACTTTATGTAACATGTACCCCCCCCCCCCCCCCCTCTCCCCCCCCGCCGAAGTCGCAACCACTACTTTGTACTGATGTAGTTACAATAATAATCGTTTAGCCGATCTGCCGATCGTTATGGTATCAACAAAGCCACTAAGGAAAAAACGTAATCGTTTCAGCACTACTTTTTTTTCGAAACTAACATTCTCCCATGTGTTCTTCTCCCTACTCAGGAATCACGTGTCCGTTTGACGCAGTTGCCAATGGCTCAGTACGATACAGCGATGGATTGTTCTTTAACAGCACAGCACTGTTCGCCTGTGACTTTGCGTTTCTGCTGAATGGCACGCAGTCCAGCACATGCTTGGGCAGCGGCCAGTGGTCGAGGGAATTCCCCACATGTCAACGTGAGTACATGTAGAATTCCCTGCTGGTATATATTTTTTTTCTCGTTTTTTACATCAGTATGGCAACTTTTTTATTTGTCCAAATGACAAGAAAATGGTAAGAAGAACATGGGAATGGAACTTTATTTTTTTAAAATTTTTAACACAGCCCTACTGCAAAACAGGTGAACTATGCTGTGAAACACGAATGAGGCATGATCAGGACATAATTATGGCAGCTGAAATGGTCGCAAAAGTATGCAACCCTATTTCTACCAATAGTTTGCGTACAGACATATCCGAGGATGGAGTAAAGTTTGCACATCCGCGTCACCACCGCCTACACATTATTGTGTTGAGAAACACAACCAGCTTGGGAAATTTCATTGTGCCAGGCCATCACCATGCCTAATTATACCAGAGTGGGATGTGATGAAGTGAATGTACTCGATGCGTTTCTTGCCTTAATCACTGTTTTCCTTCGGCCACTTGAAACTTGCTTTCGTGTTTATGTGCCATTTTCGCTTCTCCAGTTGCTACGTGTGCCTTGCCTAGGGCACCCGTGAACGGTTCACGCTACGTGCAAGGCCTCGAGTTCCAGCAGAACGTTACGTTTTCCTGCGACGACGGTTTCCTGCTGAGTGGCACGGCCACGCTGACGTGCACTTCACGCGAAGTCTGGTCTCACCGAATACCACAATGCCATCGTAAGTTTTCCAAATAGCCAGTATAAACTGTGCATGGTTCGCGACGTAATGATGTTGGCTAGTTTCACGAGAAGAGCGCAACGCGATTATAACTCGGCATGAAATCGACTTTCAACCGTGGATGTATGTATGTATGTGGCCACAGTTCAGGCCCGTCGCACCGACTTTGGAGGTGGGGCGGCCATGGAAGGGTGGCCCTCCCCCGGGAAAAAATTCAAAAATTGAAGCCAATTGCAAGCATTTCCGGGCATTTGGTGCCATTTCAATGTAACTACAATGAAAGACTTTTGATTCTGCAATAAACCACGATCAGGGACACAGATTCTTCATTATTTGCCACGCTTGGGCTGATCTGCGATCATCGCGCTTTGTTGCAGTGTACTCCAAAAAAAACGGCCAAAAAGGTGGGGCGGCCCCAGCCGCCCCGGCTGTGAGGGCCTTGCAGTTCTCTGCGAACAGTTGCCATCCCAAACTTGCTGGTTATGAGAAATTGCTGTAATGTTTTTTTGACGCGAGTATTGGGTGGTTTACAGTACGTGATCACATGTGAAGACACGTGAGCACACCAGAGTGGGGTGGTGTGTCTTTTGGTAGCGGAGAGAGGATAAGGAGAGAGAGAGAGAGAGAGAGATCCTGTGTTCACGTTTGTGAAGGTGTTCCGTGCTTGTCAGTGATCTCCCCCGCCTTTGTTTGTTTGCTCTAAGCTTGCAGTGTGACAGTTTGCAAGGTATCGTGCCCATGCACAGCAGGCACAACACCGTCTTCTTGTCACTATCCCTTTTACTAGTAGTTAAAGCAGATGTGTGTGTGTGTGTGTGTATGTGTATGTGTGTGTGTATATGTGTGTGTGCGTATGTGTGTGTGTGTGTTTGAGCATGTGTATGTGTATGTGTGTGTGTGTGCATGTGTGCGCGTGTGTTTACACGTGTGTGTGTGTGTACACGTGTGTGTGTGTGTGCACGTGTGTGTGTGTGTGTGTGTGTGTGTGTGTGTGTGTGTGTGTGTGTGTGTGCATGTGTATGTGCGTGTGTGCGTGCATTTATGTTGTTTTGCTTGCAGGCATCACATGCAGTGCTCCTGATCCGCTGCGACATGGCTATCGTGCAGTACAGCCCAACGCTGCTCTGTATTACAATGACACAGTGGTATCATCATGTATCCATGGTTACTATCTTGATGGGCCGGCAGTGAGCACGTGTGTGGGAGACGGGTACTGGGAGCCCGACAACCAAACATGCAAAAGTACCCCTGCTTGATGTGTGTGTGTGTGTGTGTGTGTGTGTGTGTGTGTGTGTGTGTGTGTGTGTGTGCGCGCGTGTGTGTGTGTGTGTGTGTGTGTGTGTGTGTGTGTGTGTGTGTGTGTGCATGTGTGTGTGTGCGCGTGTGTGTGTGCTTGCGTGCTTGGGTGCAAGTGCATAAATGGCAAATGTGTATGTCCGTGCACGAATGTATCTGTACACATGTTTCAAATTTTTTATCCTCGCGATAGCGAGTGGCAACTAAGAGATAAGCGTGGTTTGAGGGAAAGATGCATACATTGAACATAGCAATAACAGTACGAAGTAGTAGTTGCGACTTCGGCGATGATTTGTAATAGCAATAACCAAATAATAAAAAAAACAGTGTCGTGACAATGGTGTTTGTCCAGCTTCAATCCAGACGCGGGTACAGAAAGCTCGGGCATATCACTCATCATCCATAGAAAAAGTATTTATTCTTCAGTCACGAATATCACTGATGAATGTGACTCGAAAACAGATTCTGGTAAAAAAACCTTTTGAGACTTCTGTTGTGTGATGATGACCGTGGAACATGTTCTATTTTTTTCTGTTGTAAATAATCGTGAGTCCTAGAGTTTCCGAACCGATTTCATGAGGTCTTCATCAGGGATATACGTCTCAACAATGACTAGCAATGAATAACATTATATACATGTATGCGTGTGGGAACGGGGAATTTAGAGGTTAAGTGCGGAAAAAAGAAGTTCAACGGTCTCTTCTCGTTCACGCCTGGACTTTTTGCTCTCAGATGTTATTTGCCGCGACGCTCCTGGCATACCGGATAACGGCGCCCGAACATTGGCCGGCAAGGCGTATGGCGACGTCGTGACGTACTCCTGTCGTCAGGGTTACCGTCTGAGCGGCGCGTTGACGAGCACCTGCACGCAGCAGGGTACCTGGTCACCGACACCTGTCTGCCTGCGTAAGTACAGTACATCTACAACACATTATTTTCGCTGTAACTTAATTTCAGTTATTTCGGAAAAGAAACCAGGCACTTAAATTAATAAGCTCAGTTGGTTAGAGCATTGCTCGCGAATAGCAAGGTCCCTGGTTCGAGTCCCGGTGGTGTGACTGATGATTTTTTCTTTCTTTGAATATCTGGCTTGCAAGTGTTGAGTTTCGGAGAGAAAAGAGCAGTACGTGGCATGTGGCCTCTGATTTCCTTAAACCTAAATTTAGATTTAAAAAATACACGTACATGATACTATAGGTACTGGGAAAGCTGCTCACCTAATGCTACATCACTGAAACCTGGCAGGTCCCTGCTAGCGAAAATTTACTACGCCTAAAATTACATGCTATGCCTACTGTACAGTCGGTGCATAGCCATCAATCACTGCTGTGACATCCTTAGCACACCGACATTCCTCACAATTCTTGACGCAATCCGCACCCAGTCCCCGGATAAATACCACGCCGGCATACCATGTGCATGTCTGTCCATTGCTTCCAGTGCATGCGTGGCAATACAGTCAGACCTCGCTTAACCGCACACATCCGTTTCCGCAAAATATCCGGATAGGCGAGGGAACCGGATAATCGAACACGCATTCTGTATGTATGCATGGCATAAGCTGTAAATCGGTAACCAACGGCCTTCTCCCGGATGGCGAGGGATCCGGATAAAAGAGGACCGGATAAGCGAGGTCTGACTGTATCGGCATAGCTGGTGGGTACATCAGTTAGGCCTTGGCACGTAGGCAATGACACAACGACTACTTGACCAGGAGTGCAACATGCATGTCTTGCCTCCGCCATTGCTACAACAAAAGCAGCTACTAAATCGTGGCCAAAGAAATCCAACCCGCTTGCCGAAAGCAGGGCCAAGGCTCATGTGGCCCTTGCGGCCTTCCAGTGGGTTTTTGGCCTGTGCATGATGCAATGGAAGTGGAAGCGCGGCGCACTACTTTGACTCGTTGGTCGGATGTCTTTGGCCACGACTGTGCATTCGAGTTATCAAACAGCTCTGCTAAATCCAGCTCCAACCCAAGATATCCATGTACAGTCAGACCTCGCTGAACTGCACACAACCGTTTCCATAACAAAATATCCGGATAGGCGAAGGAACCGGACAATCGAACACACAATCATTCTGTGTGTATGCATGCCATGTGCTGTAAATCGGTGACCAGCGATTTTCTACCGGATGGCGAGGGTTGCGGATAAAAGAGGACGGGATAAGCGAGGTCTGACTGTATTACTGGCAGTAATTCTTGTTTGTGTGTTCACTCTGTTGCTGCCGCAGCAATCCAATGCACTGACCCGGCTCCTCCGAGCAACGGCATTCGCTTGCTGAACGGCACGTCGGTGGGCAGCGTGGTACAGTTCTTCTGCAACGCCGGGTTCTTTCTCGTCGGCCGTCAGGTACGCACCTGCTTGATCAACGGCAGCTGGTCCATAGCACCGGCCGCTTGTCATCGTAAGTGGTAGCAGCAGCCGCTTGTCATCGTAAGTGGTAGCAGCAGTTTTTGTTTTAAACGCGGATGGAGAGCCGAGGATTACAATTTAAAAAAAGAGGGCTTTGTGTGATGTGATTGAAATGGAAACGCGGCGCTACTTTTGGTTCGCTCGTTAATCTTTCTGTTCTCCTGTAGGTCCTGCCTGCTTGATCAATCCGTGCGCGCACAACGGCACTTGTCAAGCTATGCCGGACGGCTACACATTCCTGTGCAAGTGCGTTGCACAATGGACCGGGCACACATGCAAGCTCGCCGTGGATACAACGGGCGAGGATACAGGAGGTACGGACATTTCTATGTGGAGACAGTCCCTGTGTGTAAAGTGCTGCCCGACAGTTTTAGTCACTGTTCGGGCTGCTGACTATGGTTAGGCTGTGAGCTTGTGTATGTGACAAACATTCTCCTTGTGCGTTATCCCGTCTGTCCACCTGTTTGTGTGTGTGTGTGTGTGTGTGTGTGTTTGTGTGCGTAAGTGTGTGTGGATGTGGACATATTATTATGCACATGTAGATAGCATATCACATGACCATTTCCAGTGACATCACTCAGATCATGTGACATAGCATTCGAATCACATGACCTGCCGCATCAATCCTGTATCGTGAATTGTGATGTGAATCGTGATATGAATTGTGATATATGTGTCAGTATTACATGTAGAAAGTCTAAAAGGAAACTCTGTGCCTCTTCAGCAAGTTCTACAGATCCCCTGCCCGGCATCATCTTCCTTTTCATTCTGTTCTACAGCGAACAAGAACGACAATTTGAAGCCCGAAACGTACATCGCCGCCTCGGCCGGAGGAGCGGTGGCTCTCGTCCTCGCCTTGCTGGTGTTCGCGCATAGGCGACACCGCAACGCCGGCGGTGCATCGTCATCGTCGGCGGCAACAACCTCTGGAAGTATGTACATGTATGGCTGTTCTGCTAGCGCACTCTGTTGCTATGCGGTGGCGTGTCGCTTGGACACCGTAGCCATGCCGACCGTGTACTTGAAGCGCTGACTAAAAACTACCGCATTTCACCGAATATGGGTCGCAGGTTTCCGTGGTAAACGTCGCAGGCAAAGAGGTGGATGGGACTTGCAATAGAGTGTGACAACCTGCTCACCGGGGTGTCACGTATTAAAGCCGGGCGTTTTCCTGTAGAAGCGGATGTCAGGGCTAGGCTTCTATTCACATCAGGAATCTCTGTGTGTCAACACTAAAACCAAGCTTACATGCCGAGAGCGCATCTTAAAAATCAGGCTTGTATTCAAAACAGGGTTCTATTCAAAACAGGGTTCTATTCAAAATCCGGCTTCTATTCAAAACAGGCTTTTATTCAAAACAGGCTTCTATATGAGACAGGCTTTTATGCAAGACACTACAGTATGTGAATATATTGAGACAATATCGCTCAGACGTGAAAGTGGGAGTGTGCCTTCTAATCGCGGAAATACGGTGATGAACAAAGGTCCAGCACTGTAGTTGCACATGGATGACTGTACTAGTACTCTCTGAGTGATCAGCCGTATTGTTAAATTGCAGTCAAAGCTCTTCAGGACGAGCACCCGGGGGCCGGCGGTATTTGTTTGGACTCCGTCTCGACTGGCTTTGCAGGCTTCTACCCCTGGCGTAACTGTCTCTAACTTCCTATGGCCGGTACTCAGATGGGTCAATGTCCCATTGCAGTACAGTCAAATCTGCCGTTAGCGACCTCTGCTGTAAGCGACCATCTACCGTTAGCGACCGATTTTCCGTGCACCGACGGTTTCACACACAAACTGATCTGTCCAGACTCCAGAGCGACCATCTGCTGTGCGCGACCAGCGACCGCGATTTCATGCATGGTGGCTGCATTCAAATCTGCTGTAAGCGACCGCGACCCAGGTTCAGTCAGGTGCGAAACTGTACTTGCCAGTGTGCTGTCAACTGCAAAGTGTGAAAATGCGCTGTCTTGCAAGTGCGATCGACTGGCGCCTGGCCTGTACTGAGGCTGTGCTGTAGCTCTCAAGTCCAGGCAGTGTCGATCTACTGTCGTGTCGCATACGCGTACTATACGAGTATGGTCGTCGTTGAATATCCAATAAAATGATATTAAAAATCACATTATTCTTGTCGATTTGAGGACATGGAAGCATATACCTGGTATGCCGGATTTACCATACATCTGCCGTAAGAGACCATCTGCCGTAAGCGACCGCTTTTTCTTGCACCAAGGGGCGGTCGCTTACGACAGATTTGACTGTACTGACTTTCACTCACCTTCAGATGCTGGCTGTAGTGTGAATCTAGCTGATTTCCTTTCTCGTGTGTTTGTGCTTGCGGATACGGATATTTGTGAGTTTGCGCGTGTGCTTGCGTATTTGCTTGCGTGTGTGTCTGACTGTGTGTGTGTGTGTCTATGTGTGTGTGTGTATGTGTGCATGTGTGTGCATATGCATATGTGTGTGCACATGTTTGCTCTTCTGTGTTGTTTCCCAGATGTCGTCAAAGTGGAGAGCAGACGGCGGCTTGGCAAAGGCCAGCTGACTATCGACACTGACGTGTTCGAGTACTCGGACAACACTCTAAGCACAGGCGATCGCGTGATAGAGGTAGCCGGCCGCAGCATGGTCATCGGGCGCGGCAAGTGGGGATCGCAGATGCACGTCTACGACAACAGCTCGGCCGTGGACGACGACTGGAGCTCGGTGGATTCTGCGCAGCCCGGCACCGGATATGTAGCATCCGGTCATGTGACAGCAGGTCATGTGACATCCGGCCATGTGACAGCCAGACATCCTGGTAGCAATGTACAGGAGAGGAAAGCTAGATCGGGCGCACTACCGGTTAGCTCGTTGGCGCGGCAGCCGGCGGCGGACGACACTTACGAACTGGACGTGCACCGGTACTCGGCGCCTCCTAAGCGCCCTGGCTCGGGTGACGATGATTTCCCTGCTGATGACCCGTCTGTGTGTGCGTTGGATGTCGTGGTGTCCCCGAAGGACGCCGGCAGCAACGGTGAGCTGCTCTACGACCATGGTGGTCTGTGTATCCTCTCCAGCGACTTGTCCGCCCAAACCGACGTCACCATGTCGGACAATGGATCGCTGAAGAACAGCGGCGCGTATTCGCGACACACAGCCGGTAATCGGGCGTGCATGAACGAAGCCGCGGGTGCTGTCTCGGCGCAGCATCGTGAAGCTGGTGGTCAGATGTATGACGACAACAACGGCATGGAGGGGAACATTGTGGCCACCTGCTCCGCCGAGAGCATCAGCGTAGTGCCAGCCGCCGCACCGCCCGTCCTGCCCACTAGCACGCACGGGAAACTGACTACAGTCCCCTTCTCTCCTGTGAGAACGGATTCTGCTGCTTGCGGTGCAGCGGCAGCGAGTGCTCCAGGCGGTGGACAACAGAACAGGGCAAGCTCTGAGCAAACGTCAGCCACCACTGTAAAGGGTGAGTTTAAAATGACCCCCCCCCCCCCCCTTAGGCTGGGTGGTTTCGGCCCTGTGTGTATGTTGATTAGTGCTGAAACGAGTACGCCGAGTACTCGAGTACCCGCTCGTTGAGTACTCAACTCGATATCAAAAAAAGGACTCGATACTCAATAAAAAAATAAAAAAGTAAAAAATACTTAATAGCGACGTACACGACCGCGGATCCGGTACACGAACGCGTAGTGTCTACTCACCTACACGTTTTTGTACACTACTGATTACTCTACTCGTCTACTGCACTGTCTGTAGTACCGGTACATGTGCCTGGACTAGGCTGTAGCAAAAGTCGAACAGGAATACAAAAGTGTATACGTGTGTGCGCTTGACAAGCGCATGTATACGTAGCTAGGCTCGGACATATTTTGAATATTCTCTCGCTTTTCTGTTTACTGACAGACATGCATATGCGCATGTGTGCTTATGGAGTACTCGATACTCACTCGATTGTGACAGTACCTGCTTGATAGTGTCAGTACTCGATAGTGACAGTGCTCGATAGTGACAGTACTCGATAGTGACAGTACTCGATAGTGACAGTACTCGATAGTGACAGTACTCGATAGTGACAGTACTCGCTCCATAGCGACAGTACTCGATAGTGACAGTACTCGCTAGTGACAGTACTCGCTAGTGACAGTACTCGATAGTGACAGCACTCGATAGTGACAGTACTCGCTCGATAGTGACAGTACCCGATAGTGACAGCACTCGATAGTGACAGTACTCGATAGTGACAGCACTCGATAGTGACAGTACTCGCTCGATAGTGACAGTACCCGATAGTGACAGCACTCGATAGTGACAGTACTCGATAGTGACAGCACTCGCTCGATAGTGACAGTACTCGATAGTGACAGCACTCGATAGTGACAGTACTCGCTAGTGACAGTACTCGCTAGTGACAGTACTCGATAGTGACAGTACTCGATAGTGACAGTACTCGATAGTGACAGTACTCGCTCGATAGTGACAGCACTCGCTCGATAGTGACAGTACTCGCTCGATAGTGACAGTACTCGCTCGATAGTGACAGACTGTACCCGATAGCGACAGTACTCGCTCGATAGTGACAGTACTCGATAGTGACAGCACTCGATAGCGACAGCACTCGATAGTGACAGTACTCGATAGTGACAGTACTCACTCGATAGTGACAGTACTAGCTGATAGGGTACTCTTTTCAGCACTAATGTTGATAACTTGACTAGCTTCCTGGCATTCTCGAATCCTCTTTTTGCATGTTTGGTCATGTCTGCTTGCGTACTACTGTACATAGTAAAAGCTGTGAGTAATGACCACCGTACCTACTGAGCAGCTTGGTACCACAGACCACTTCGCCGGGCACGTACGGTCTCGCATTCATATTACAGTATGGTTATGCGGTGCAAACCTCTAACTAAGGACCACCTGCCACCTTTAAAACCAATTTCTCTGGCCGCAAGGGGTGGTCGTTACTCGTTAATTCCAGGTTTTACTGCAATAGTATTTCGCTCCTGCTCTTGCAGTAGTTGAGCGCTCTTATAATTATGGGATAGTGCCTGTGCAGTTTGCGTTCGGCAGAGCTCACTGACTTGTCAGTTTGAGCACTCTGGCAAGGTATGTTCGGGCCTGGTTTTAATCTGGCTTTGGAAAAATGATTTTTCATTGCTATCAGGTCCGGCTTCATTTTCCCTGTGCTGCGCTGACGAGTCCACGAAGAGCGAAACAGTTCTGTCCGCAGATTGAGCAATTATGATAGTAAAATATGTACCTGTTGAGTCTGCCTCGCTTGCTCACTCTGTCTGTCTGTCCACCGTGTGTGTGTGTGTGTGTGTGTGTGTCTGTCTATATGTATGTGTGTGTGTGTTTCTGTCTGTCTGTCTCTCTGTCTGTCTGTCTCTCTATCTCCATCTCCATCTCTCTCAATCCTTCTATCTGTCTACCTTTCTATAACTATCTTTATTTCTCTGTCTCTCCTGCCCCTTCCCCTTTCCGTGTATCTACGTCCATCTTACTGCACTATCCTGCAGGTGTCTTGAAGATGATGTTCCAGAAACTCCCCTACAGAACCGCCTCCGCTACCACCGCAACATCATACACAATGACGGATACAAAGAAGGTCAGGGCCGACAATGGGTGGGCACCGCAATCCACAGCAGCCGACAAGAGGAAGACAAAGCCAGCGGGCAGCAGTGGTGGCTGGAATTTCATGGACAAGCGACGCGGGTCGGAACTGATCGACCTTCTGGCATTTGCCTCGGAAGGAGACGGAGAACAGACGGCTTCCACCGTGTCGAACATAATAGAAGAAACGATCGTGTGTGTAGCCGACTCACAATCTGATGGCAATCTGTATGAAGACGAGGTGTTCGGCGCAGCTGTCCTCGGCAGAGGCTCGACCTCGGCTCCAGGTGGCCAAGATAAGGTGAACAGGCAGCCGCAGGCGACGAACCAATACCAAAACGGAGGCGACTCGACCACAGCTCTCTACGAAGATGAAGATTTTGGCGCAGCTGTTCTTGGCCTAGGCTGGGGCCCCGTACCAGGCGGTAATGCTGGAAACTCTACGGCGACTTCGTCTGGACTTCAGCAAGGTAAGGTCCTGAACAGGCAGCCGCAGGCAACGAACCAATGCCAAAACGAAGGCGACTCGACCGCAGCTCTCTACGAAGATGAATACTTTGGCGCAGCTGTTCTTGGCCTGGGCTGGGCCTCGGTTCAAAATGGTACCATTAGTGATGCAAACTCCACGACATCCTCGTCTGCGAGGTACACATCTGGACTTCAGCAAGACATTGTGTTGAAAAGGCAGCAGCAGGCGACGAGCCAATACCAAAATGGTGACGACTCGACAGCAGCTCTTTACGAAGAGGAGGATTTTGGTGCAGCGGTCCTTACGCAGGCTTGGGGAAACCAGTACGCAAGCAGGGCAGTCGCTACTGCGGCCAACGCTACGCCTAGCGACTCGACCGCAGCTCTCTACGAAGATGAGGACTTTGGCGCTGCGGTGCTGATGCAGGCTCGGGGAAACCAGTACGCAAGTAGGGTGACCAATGCCGCTGTCGCTACATCACCGCGCCTGCTTCTCCAGGCCACCGTGGTGGAGGACGACACAGCGGTGGGGGCCATCTACGAGGACGAGGACTTTGGAGCTGCCCTGCTCGAATCTGCTCAAGACTATAGCCGAGTTAGTAAAGTTGGTGCTAGCCCCGTTGCTAGGCACGTGCCACAGACACCGCAGCAGCAACAACGACCACCGTGTCTTCTCGGCAACGAAGACAGCCAGAGTTGCTATGGTAACAGCACGCAGGACGATGCCGTCAAGAATGACGCAGGAGAGGAGACGTATGGTGTTGTGGATGCAGTGGATGCAGCAGGCGTATGCGCCGATGAATGCATGTACGAAGATGAAGGCTCCGTTCTAAGTGGTCTTGTTGCTGCACAACACGCAAGAAGCCAATTGCCTAAGAACACAACCGCACTTGATGGGAAGGCAGCCACTGCAAACTCATCATTCAAACCTCCATCATTGTTCCTTGCCAACGACGACAGCCAGAGCTGCTATGGCAACAATACACATGACGACAACACCAGCTGCTATGGAAACACGGAAAACGACAATGCTAGCTGCTATGGAAACACAGAAAATGATGCAACCAGTTGCTATGGAAATATGGATAATGGCAGTTGCTATGGAAACATGGATAATGCAAGTTGCTACGGAAACACGGATAATGCTAGTTGCTATGGAAACACGGATAATGCCAGTTGCTATGGAAATGCGGATAATGCTAGTTGCTATGGAAATGTGGATAACGTCAGTTGCCATGGAAATATGGAAAATGCCAGTTGCTATGGAAACATGGATACTGCCAGTTGCTATGGAAACACAGAGAATGACACTGGCAGTTGCTATGGCAACCTGGGCAGCATAAACAGCTGCAGAGCTAGTTTCCATGGAAATGTGGTGGACAACTCCGCCAGTTGCTATGGCACTGTGCCAAGCGTATCACAAACGAATGCGATTTACGACAATTGACTTGCGTAATTGTTTTGTTGTGTGTCTAGGTCTTGGTGGCGTACGAAGGCCATCCGCTCCCGGACTTTAGAAGAGTTTGTTGCGGGTTCTCCCACTGCTACCATGTGAAACCGTGCAGTAGTCTCGCGTGCCTCCGATAGTCGCCAGCCCGCAGATACAGCTATCTACGCTTAGGGTGCATGAATTTTCGACTGCTTGTATTTGCCGAATTGCCACTGCCCTCCCACCCCCCACCCCACCCCGTGTAGGAGTTCCTAGCTAATCAACCCTGTCGGTGCTGCCCAGTGTCGCCAGCTAAGCAGCCGCGTTGAATCTTTCCTCGAGTCTCATGTTTATACTGATGTCTTTAGTTTAACTTTTATAGAGTATAATATTTCTTCATCAAGCACTACACCCTCACAACGCTCTGTATGGGGCCGAATGCTCTGTACAAGGTCCAATGCTCTGTACAAGGCCGGATGCTCTGTACAAGGTCAAATGCCCTGTACAAAGCCGAATGCTCTGTACAAGGTCGAATGCTGCTGTTTACCTACCCCCTTATTTATTTCTGGTAGTGATAACGAGGTACGAGGAACAGACTAGATCTCGCCACCCGAACTGATCCTCACTAACTGAGTACTTCGAAGCAGCAAGCCCGTTAAGACGGGTATCGCAGCCCGTCCCTTGATATGTGCGCCTAGGGTTGTCTATAGCTTCGCCCCCACCATTAGCACTAGTCCGCCCGTTGAACTCCAGCAACGGTGCAACAACACCATGCATGCTGCTGACTGCATGCTGCTGGGGCCGTTGTCTGCTGCGCCTGTCGTCTTATGTCTTCTCATACACTGGAACAAGGGATCTGATAATTATGTAGTAGCTTTTCCATCGCAAACGCCTGCTCAACCGAGTTGACATGCCCGCTGAGCTCGGTCATTATACGTTTTTTAACTGAATTTACTACTAGTGCATTATGAGGTCATTATAAGTAATAATTTTTCGACTCCAGGATGCGGATGATACCTGTACAGTCAGACCTCGCTTAACCGCACACATCCGTTTTCCACAAAAATGTCCGGATAGGCGAGGGAACCGGATAACCGAACACCAGTTATGTAGGATGCATTGCGTATGCTGTAGATCTGTAACCAGCTATTTTCTTCCGGATAGCGAGGGATCCGGATAAAAGAGGACCGGATAAGCGAGGTCTGACTGTATATCGACCGTATGCGTGGCTGGTCGGCAGCACAGCGTATAGTGCGACACGATCACATGTTTTATGCCTGCATCGCACACACACACACACGCACACACACACACACACACACACACACACACACACCTGATGGTGTACTGAGCGCAGGAATACCGGCACCGGTACTCCAGCTCCGGCTTGCCGTTACGCGTACTCTCCCAGTCCGTGTCTTGCTTGTGCCGGAGTTGCGTTACGCCCTGCTGAACTTGTACATATGGAGGGCACTTCTCATGGATTCAGCTAATCTTGCTTAACTTGAACAGGGCACATTTCATGCTTCTCTTGCTGAACTTGCAGTGCGCACTTCTCATGGATTCAGCTCATCTTGCTGAACTTGTACAGGGCACATTTCATGGACTGCTCCTCTTGCTGAACTAAGCTAAGTTACTTGCAGTGCACACTTCTCATGGACTCAGTTTAGCTTCCTGAACTTGCAGATGACTCTTCTTATTGCTTGTCGACTGCTCGCATGCATGGCTGAACTTGCGACGTTTTTTCTGGTTTCGGAGCATGGCGAGCGCCACAATCCCACCATTAGTGCATAGGTTTAGATCGCTTACGCCGGCGGAGCTCCGTGCATTCGGACTGAAACGAACAGTGTTTGGCGTGTTCCTTTGTTGTCATCTATCACGGTTTATCAGACATGCCGATTTGGATCGAAAATCACCTGATCAACCCAACTAGACCTCATTCGTATGCAGCCGGCAAACTCCCTATAGTCACTCTTTTAGTCTTATTCAACATAGATCTGTGTTCGATGGTATCAGCTATTATCGCCTTCTTAGGTTACGTTTGGTTGGTCACATTCCCAAATGGGAATCACTTGGAATCACTCGGAATCATTCTCGCCCGTTTGGTTGGTCAAAAAAGTGCGTTAGGTTGGTCACATTCCACATGATTCCAGAATGGGAATCGCTGAGAATGATTCTTTTTGGAGAATGATCATTCCACCTCACATGCTGGAATGAGCATTCTCATTCTGGAATCAAAAATGATAATGGCTGCCACGAGCCAAACAATGTAGCAACAGGTTCAAGTGCCTGAAATCATGCACTCAGAAGTACCATGACTCTCTCAAGGAAACTGGAGTCGGGTAAAAGAAAAGACAGCCGCCGTTTCACAACGACATCATGGAATTGTTATGTCAAGTGATTCCTAATTGATTCTGGCGCGTTAGTTTGGTCAGGTGATTCTTGCCGATTCCCATTCCAGAATGGTTGTCATTTACATTCTGAAAATGCCCAACCAAACGCAACCTTAGTATTTGACCCCAGTAATTTCCCTGATACCTAGGGCGCGTTTGGTTGGTACGAACTAGAACAGGATTCACCAGAACAGCGCGTTTGGTTGGGACTGCACCTGTTCTGGGTCGGCCAGAACATGTTCTGCTTGCTCCGGCCTCGAGGCCGGAGCAGACCGAGCAGTTTCACTTTTTCACAGTGAAACCTGGCGGGAACATCGATTTTGGTCCCAAATGATCACGTGCATACGCTTTTGGGTTGGACTCGTTGTACCGTACAAAGTGACCATGGTGACCCATACACATTTTCAAGTTTCACACATTTTTCCACGAAAATGTGCTCTGTTTCTGGAGTACCGTTTGGTTGGCATGAGGCTGCTCCATGTGCACCAGCTGTTCGATCCTGTTCTAGATCGTACCAACCAAACACACCCCTAAGCGGTCAAATATATCGCGTATTTGACTAAGCATATATTTGACTACTTATATTTGACTCCTTTAGAACTTCTTGGACTTAGAAATTTTCTCTCCAACTTAGAAAAAGAAATTTTTGAAGAAAGCAGAAATCCACAAGATGGGATTTGAACCCACAACCTTGTGAACCTCACTCACTCTTCCTTACCACCCAGCCACTGTGCTACCGATGCTGAACCTAGTTTAAACAATTATCTTGACTTTCAATGCAGTACAATGCGGTATAGGCTATAGTATAATACTAGAATTACAAGGATATGTCGTATATGAAGAGAAACTATTGCGTGGAGAACACGATAAATAGATTATAGACCTCGTAAAAGACCTCGGGGGACCTCGGTCTTCTACTCGGTCTATATATCCTGTATCAAGAGTACATAACCCCCCCCCCCCCCCGTACTCTTGCCTGTATAGACCTCCTAACCGGTCTATAATCTATACTTATCACTCTTCTATATCGACCTCCACTAATTCTCGTGATCCTTGACTGGTCCTATATTACCCATATCGCCGCAATATCGACCGCTTATATCGACCGCTTATATCGACCGCTTGTATCTGTTGTGCGCCATCTATGGATCTGCCACATCGATCGATTTTGCTGCGCGATCTGTCGATCGACAGATCGCGCAACGATCGATCGATCGCGCAAAATCGATCGATCGCGCAACAAAAAAAAGAAACCAAATCGATCGATTGTGAGCTGGGCGCGGAGTAGGTATTTTACTACTCCCTTGTGAACGGCATCATCGTAATCAGTACTCGCACTGGTACGAGTACTTGGCGACTGGCCGCACACCACTCAGTAAACAGTAGATGACGATTCTTTGAAGAAGTAATGGTTGACGTTGTCGAACATTCAGACCCACTGGAGGCGTTCCACAGCCTGGAGCCCGCTGATAAGGATTTTGATGTGACTTGAGTAAGTACTAAAGTGATGTCAACACTAGTTCTACGTACTCTCAGTCTCTCTCTCTCTCTTTTTTCGGCGTCAGACATTGAGTGGGAGATATAGATGACTGGATTTCGTTTGTAAAATAATGAGTAATTTCTGCAATTTGTGATCGAATCAGCATGCTGTCAGCTGTACCAGTCCACATCCCATCGTAATCAGCGACCAGGCCAAGCGTGATATTTGCCTTGGTATTTCACTATGTGTGGTGAGAAGACGTCCATTCACGTCTGAGAAATTCATTTGCAAATGGGAAATCAACAGGCCTGTATTAGTATGGGCAGAATTCATCACCCGGGCCGCTATTGAAGCTTTGCACAGTTGTCAATGTCCAACGGCCTATTTATACGAAGACCTGTGGTGGCTACGTGATTCTCTTAAACCTGTGATCATGTTTTCCAAGATCATTTCAGTAGCAGACATATGAAACGCTACGCCGGGCCTGAGCCTGAGGCAATGTACGGACGTGGCCGTGCTGCACTGAACCGCGTGGCATCATCGTCACGTATGATGGAGTCAACATGACTGCGCCCTGCATATGCATCATACATCTGATAGTACGTTTATTGCCCTATCCTTGGAGAGTGGGCCACCAGGGAAGGCTGGGTTTCCGACTTGGCTTCACCTATAGTGCTCATGATTGAACACGCTCTTGGAGAATAAATGTAGAATCCGGCTGAACATTGAAACCAGATAGCATCGCGTTTCTGCGCTGCACCTCACAACACCATTGACATACAACCAGGAAGAGCTGGGAACTTGAGGGAAGTGACGGAAAAGTCAAAGAGGAAGTGAAGAAGATTGAAGAAGAGGATCAGTAATCATCAAGGAGGCCAAAAAGAGGTCACCTACGAGCCAAATGGCTCTTGATGTGATGATGTGCAGGCAGGTATGCTGGAATTGGATAGACTCTTTTGGTCATTTTTTGGCCTATCCCACATCTTTCTACCGCAGCTCTGGCAGATTGATTGGTACTATACCCCTGAATTTATACATTTCTGAGCTCTGTGACACGTTACCTAGCTCGTGAATGTCGTCTTTCAGCCATTCATCATTGCCTATTTTGACATTTGATGAGGAGCCGATCATGACTATTTTTGAGGATGCGCATGTCAGAACGCTTTGTTGTGACATGCTCATCTAAAGGATTTTGCAACTGTTTCTATTGAATACCTATAATAGTAGTACGAAATAATTAGGGCTCAAACGGTCACGGTTTTACCCCGAACGGTTAACTGCTAAGCTAACGGTCGGTTTAACGGTTATAACCTATAAGCCATGGCAATCCTGCGGACTCTTTTTTAACCGTTTATTTGACTATACTCATTCAAAAAATATGCCCTATTCAGTACAACGCACACATGTACATTCTCTTGCATGCTCATTCATACATACTCTCACACGAAGAGACCAGATATGACCGAGTTGACAGCCCAGAAATTGCATACGCGTGCGACAGGCTGCGAAAGTGCATACTTTGCAACGACCTGATACATGAAAAATTGACTGAAAAGTTACTGCGTAACCGTTATCTTTATCGGTTAACCGTTAATTCTTCGTAACCGGTCTGCAACCAGTTAATCGGACTAACCGTTTGAGCCCTAGAAATAATGGTTGCGACTTTGGCGATAATTATTACGAAAGGGTTTGCTCCCCACACTGGAGCTCGCGCTATTCCGTCGACTTGACAAAAATACCCGAGCCCGCTACCCGACCAAACCCCTACCCGTTGCAGCCCTGATTTTTTTTCGTCGGACTGGCCCCTTTCCATTCCCTCAACAAACAAAGGAATTATATAATGAACACTGGATCACTTATTATTCTGCTCGGTGCATGGACCAGTACAGGAACCGACACTCAATACAGTCAACTTCGCTTATAACGACACTCGGCAGGGCATCAAAAAGGTGTCCTTATTCGTGAAGTGTCGTTATACCCGAAGTCTCATTATATGTATTACACTGGGATGGGACTTTGCTCTGGGCATGGAAATTCTGTCGTTATTCGCGAATTGTCGTTATATCCGCAGTCGTTATTAGCGAAGGTGACTGACTGTACTTACTGTTATGTTGATGGATGGATGTGGTTTATAGGATCGCTCTTCCGAACGAGAACACTGTTTCTGGTTCATTGAAGTAGGGATACTGTGCATGTATTATAATGTGCATGCTTAGCTACAAGATGAAATGGATCCAGCCATTGAGTAAGAGAAGAGTTTCAATATTTTAATTCTATTAAAGTATACACCCGGTTCCAAAATAACGCACGTGCCCTTGCATACGCCCAGGAAATCGAGCCTGCTATTATATACACCCGGGACCTATACACGGGCTTTTACGGTAACGTTATAATTATCTCAATGTTCCGGGTACGGCTATTTACCATGATGTGGGTATAATACTGGACATACATGTAGTCTGTTTTCTATTTTGCTGCTCCTTGTTCTTTGGTGCGATTGGTGGCTCGGAACAGGCAGACATTATTTACCGATATAATCGCACAGGTCACATTGTAGAGTGCAGACCACCTAGTGCTTTGAAGATTCACTGCGATATTCCCATAATGTTATAATACATGTATGAAAATCAGCATCATTTTCTGTATGTTAAATGCCACAAATTGTTAGGCTTCACCGTAATATCAAGAGTACATAACCCCTCTTGGTAATATCCATGTTCAGTGTTCCGTTCACATCGGTTCATGCTGATCACCCGAAAGTGTCGTCTAAACAGGATATAGGGGTGTGCGGATAATGCTCGAAAAGGTGGGAGATTCTGCTCGAAAAGCTGTGAAATTGGCAGAACCATACAAACCTTATGGCGGGCAATTCCTCGAATTCTGCTCCATTTCTTTATCCACATACCAAACATGCATGAAACTTACCAGAAAAAGTACTGAATTCTGCCAATTTTTCTGCCCGCATATGCCTAACAGGATATGTCCGCGCCGCGGGGATTATTTTTCAAATAATCTCCTCAATGTCATGTACATAATTGTCGCCGGTCGCAGCGGCTTCACAAAACGTAGACTTTCCCAGCCCCCCCCCCCCCCACCCAAAGTACACACAAAATACAATTGAAGCATATGCAATGAAACGTATGCATTGGGAAATTGGATTGCAGTAAAGCCCGTGTTTGCCGGACCCTGTACCAAGCGGAATCCTGTATTTACCGGACAAAATTTCATGCACCAAAGTGCATTCCTGGATCGAAAGTGCATTCCTGGATCAAGCGGGGTCCTGTCACATCAGGACAGTTTCCGCTGCACCAAGGGCGTCTTGTCAGGGCAGGCTTTACTATAGTGAAGTTTATAGTGAATTGTACTCCAAGTAACTCGTGAGTCCACACACAATGGTCATGCAGTACAAAGCCGAAAAGTCCCTTTCAAGACAGAGTGACAGACAGGAGTCGTCACTAGAAGGGCTGATCAACCAACACAGAATACTACAGTGGTGCTCAATGAAGTCCAATGAAGCGAGTGAATGCCGTGCGGAACGTTGTGCAGCTGTGAACACTGGGCTGTCAACTGGCACAGGGCGCACACTTGACTCACACAATATTAACATTGAGCATCAACGTAGCATAATAATAGCAGTGAAAAAGAGTAGAGTCAAATACGCGATGAGCGATAGTGTAGAGTCTAATACTAAAGGCAGAAATAGAGTATTATAGGGTACCTCACTTCAAACTCTCCAACTACGGTCTCTTCGCTGCATATGTTCACTTCACTTCCCAAAAAAACAAATAATATTAGATATAAATTGAATGCACCAAATTTTCGGGCATGGCCCATCTTCAGGGTGAAAAAGAAAACCATTCAATGGTTTTCTTTTTCACCCTGAAGATGGGCCATGCCCGAAAATTTGGTGCATTCAATTTATATCTAATATTATTTGTTTTTTTGGGAAGTGAAGTGAACATATGCAGCGAAGAGACCGTAGTTGGAGAGTTTGAAGTGAGGTACCCTATAATGTGTGAATGGCTGCAATGGAGTCTGCGAGTGCTTAGAAAAGAAATAGAGTAATGCCATCAAGTGCGAGATACCATGTTAGGAGCATTAACGTGTGATTGTGAAGCTTACTTTAAAGCGGGATGTTGAGTCTACAGTGCACCATGGGCACAGCGAGATCATGTTATGTGTGAATGGTATACCGTAAAGTACCGCCAGAGCGCCCCGTCTCGCGAGAGCGCCCCACCTTGATTTTACAGCCAGGGTCCAGGGAAAGGAAAATCGTACGGCAGAATGCAACGAAGTGTGTATGGTGTACTAACGTCAGAGGAAGGTTTTTGTGTGGAGCTCGTGTCCGCTCGAAGGTACGGATTGTCTGCACAACGTGCAATATGTGTACGAAGTTCGTGTCGTATGACCTACAGACGGGAGACCACCTACACAATACGACCACGAAAGGACGAGATAGTGGGGCGCTCTGGCGGTACTTTACGGTACTAGTAATCAAATGGATGCAAAACATATAGATGTCGTGATACACCATGCCTGATTCGTGGCTGGAAGCCGTGAGCTCAGTGCTTGGGGCTAGTGGGATTCCTCTAGCTTTCAGAATCCTGCATGAAAAAAGGTAAAAGAAAGTGAAGGTACAATAATAGTAAGGTGATGTAAGCCTCTTGGTTTCGCGAACGAATTTCATCATTAAATTCATGGCATGGGAACGACGCTACAGAAGTATACAAAAGCTGAGCCATCCTCTAAAGAAAGTCCACTTTAGTGAATCTCATCTTGTCAGCAGCACCATGCTGTTTGTATGGGAGAATTGCCTTCGTACAGTGCTGCCCAATGAAATCCTGAAATCAAGTCGCGTCACTCAAGTACCGGGCGTTGCGCAGCCCTAGACCTGCGAACACTGGGCTGCGAAATGGTGCAAGGCGCAAACTTGAGTGACACGACTGGATTTCATTGAGCAGGACTGTACATTCAAGGCACCTGCACTTCCTATTACAGTGTAATGTTCTTATTTTACAGGAACATTCCCAACTGGGTCTAATGTCTTCTGAGGCTGCGTTTACACGACAACGCACGGCCATTTTCCGTTTTCAGTCCCGCATTTCTTTTTTCATTTTCGTGCGTTTACACGATCAAAGCTGATCCGAGGTGGTCTCGGTTTGTATCGTTTTCTCGCGTCTACACGGGAGCAAAGGATCCACAAAAGTTCGTCATGTGCCGAGTGTTGTCGTGGAAGCACCAATCACACTCAAGGAATAATCGAAAACAGGCCACACACCAGCACTCGTCACATGACGAAAATTGTAAAAAAAAGAGTTTTATTGTCGGATCCGTGTGAACGGCCGAAAACGGAACAAACGTGACGGAAACGAGGCCAGCAGACCGTTTCGACTGTTTACACACCCAAATTTATCCGGCAGAACATTTCCGTTTTCAAATTCTTCCACCTTGGCCAGCGTTTTGGTTCTCTTCCGCTTTGGTGTACAACTATTACGTTTTGCTCCGCGTACCGTGTAAATGAACCATGCATCCGAAAGGATTTAGTTGCGCTTTCACCCCCAGCGTTGTCGTGTATACGCAGCCTTAGATGGTGCCCAAGGTATTCATTGAGTTCCTGCAACTTCATTTGAAATGAACTGGAAAAGTGCGAAGGGATTCGAGGAGGACATTAAAGCAGTCAGCTCCAAGAAATGAAATTGATTCGTGAATTCAATTATAATGATGTTCACACCTACATGTACATGTATGCAATAACTAGGTATCACACTTCATCTTACCGGCGAGACCTCACTATATATTCTCTGGGGTACGGCAAGTGTTATGCTTTAGAGAGATCCATGTTATAGCGAGTTGGGCACATAATATAAACCATATATGTCAAAGTTAGGGCTGCGGTTAACCAAAAGGTTATAGGCTAGAACCAAGAGTAGATAAACAAGAGTGTGCAACTCCGGGATGGGTTGGCCCGTGGCGGAATTTTTTGTTGACGTAATCTTTTCTATGACGCATGCGCTGCGGGTCTTTTGGAAAGTTTGCATCGTGCACTTGGCCGGGCTTTACATTACAAGGTTGGTGCCCAGTACGTGCTCTCACACTGTTCTGCGTCAAAATGCGCGTTTTTCTGAAAAAAGGTGACGTCTACAAAAAATGCTGCCACAGGCAGGGGTATGTGCAGATTGTGCAGAAGAGATCCAGAGTTGCACACTCTTGTTTATCTACTCTTGCTACAACCTATAAGAGATAAACTGTACATGTAGCCTGTATTCATGTACCATTGCTGTACATGACTGTAAATCCATGTATCCATGGTACCATGACCTCACGCACTGCCAAAACAATCACTACAATATGTATAATACTCATAAAAAGGACACATTTCAGGCTCATTACAAACGTCTTGAAAGTGTTTGTCTTCACAAGTATACTTTATGAGTATTATGAGTATTATCGCATTTTTGTCTCAGACGAAACTGTTTACAATATGTATAGTGGATGCATATTATATTTTGCTCAGTTTTCCAGAGCAGGTTCAACAAAGAGTGAATAACAACTAAATAGAGCGGTTGCCAGTTGACAAACCCCCTTTATATTTACAATGCAGTTGCGTGAATGTCCACTACTTTCTGAACGAAAGGTTCAACATATTTTAATATTTTGTATGCTCCATTGGGCTTCGGATTGCACCATCACCTTGTCATTTAATCAACTCAACCTCATCATGAGCATACGCAAGCATCACTAATATGGGGAGCAACCCCAGAGATGAGGGAGATACACGCCGTACATCCATTGTGCACAGTACTGACAGGGTACGCACATGCTGTCACGTATATTATGTACAGCGGACATTGAAAGAAAATAACCGGTTAACCCATATGCATATGGTTAACTGTTCGTGTATTCTTAACGGTTACATAACCGGTTAACCTATCTAACCATTTCACCCTAGTCAAAATGGCGCTGTTTGCTTACAGACTACAACTGTATTGCCATCGATCCACACTGATCAATCCAGGAAATGTGCGCATGTTGTACATTTTTAGTGTATTTTATAGTAGTGTGTCTACTGCATGTGTTTCAGGACTGTAACAGTCACACTACAACAAAAGTCCGACACTCCAGAACAACCCCACACAAAATCCTGTGGTCGACCAGCCAACAAACACAGCTCTGGGTTGAATGACGAATTAGTGAAAAACTATAAAGAGAAAAGAGAGGTGAAAGAGAAAACCGCCAACACATCTCCAGAACGACAGAGCCTCACTCTCTCCCTCCCTCCCTCCCTCTCTCTCTCTCTCTCTCTCTCTCTCTCTCTCTCTCTCTCTCTCTCTCTCTCTCTCTCTGTCTCTGTCTGTGTGTCTGTCTTTGTCTTTGTCTCTCTCTCTCTCTCTCTGTCTCTCCCTCTCACGGCAACTAAAAAAAACAACCATATCTCAAACCACACCTCACTCATTTTACGCTGTAGGATGAAGATGAAGGGGAGGTTGGCGATGAAAAGAAGAAGACGGCAGGGTTTAAGCATTTATTGTTCAGTGACCCGTGTCGTTTGGCGTATAATGATTCTCGGTTTACAATTGTAGTATTGTTTGTTTTGCAAAGAATTTCAATCAGTTAAAAGTCATAGATGCTGTTTACATTCACACGCGTAAGCCAGACCGATGCATTCAGAAAGAACATGTCACGGCATCCACATTCTTTCCTTAGCACCGTAACTGTATTTTGCACATATGTTTGTTTTATTCACCCTCTCTCTTTCTCTTTTCTTACAGTTACACTTGTGTTTTATCACACTATAGAATGACTGCGCATGTATTTTATAGATTGCGATTATTATCACTGTCGGGAAGGAAAACACCAATTTTACAGGGCCCTAAAAGTCTGAACGATACCTATGAAATGCACTGTCAAAGCAAACACAAAATATGAATAAGCAAGCTCATGCCTGAGGGGAAGATGAGAAGTTGAAACGTGGAGATTTTTCGGACAGGACGAGAATCCGAAGAACCTGGGTGATTCCCTTACTTCCACAATGGGCTAGTGGCTGCATCACAAAAATTATACCTTGCAGTGGGTGCAGAGACAGATCAATAAACACTAACCTGAGCATGAGAGCTGCTCGTAATCATTGCGATCGTCAGGAAAATGGCAGGACGAACGGACCAGAAGAATGTTGGCTATGACAAACAACTGCATATCCAGACGACACACGGCTTGACTATTTGCTTATGACGTTCAGCTTCGAGGTCCAGCACGATGGAATTTTCGGAAGGAACTGATTTTTGAATTATTTGGGGAAGAAGATTGCACTCAGAAAAGGTACCGTTTCTTTCATTTGAAAAGCTGTTCACCAAAGTCCTAAACATACACCAAGAGTCCATAACCCCCCCGGGGGTTATGGACTCTTGCATACACTGTACGACGTTTCGGAGCTGCTCCAAATCGATCGATTTGTTTTGAATGGTTTCGCCACCGCTTTCCGATCGATCGATCCTTGCGCGATCTGTCGATCGACAGATCGCGCAAGAAAATCGATCGATTTTCCAAATCGACAGAACAGAGAACGCGCACAACATATGCATTGTAATCTTTCGACTTTGGAGGGACTTAGGATTTTTCTCTCCACTTCAAAAAGAAAAATTGAAAGAAGACAAAGGAAGAGAACAAGCAGGATTCGAACCCACAACAGTATGAATCTCAAGCAACCCCTTATACCACCCAGCCACTGTGCTGCAGATGCTGAACTCTGTTGTTCTTACAGTCTTGCACCCAAAAAAAGGCAACATCCTATGTACACTATAGTACAAATAAAAAGGTTAAAATAGCTTCTAAAGGTTCAAATTTTTGGGTGATGGCAAAGGAATCGTGATAAATAGGATATTGACCTCGACTTCGGTCTA